AAACTGTTCTTCTGGAAAAACAGAGACAGGCAAGTGAAAAATCGAATACCACTGGACCTTTTTAGATGGAGTCAAATCCTCCTTTGTTTTACAGGGCATATAAAGAGGATATGCCATTGCATTTGCAGACCAAAGGTACTTGTGGTCATGCTCTGCTTTTTGTGCAAAAAACTGAAGGCAGATCTGGAACTTAACAAATCTTAAATGCTACTATGATCAGACAAAAAGTCTGGGCTTTTTTTTTTTTTTGACTAGACAAAGGCCAAACCCCAGTTTCCCAATCTAGAGCTCCAGTTCTATGCTGCCCAAAAATCTGCATCTTGAAAGGCTTCTACAAACTAATTTGAAGGAATTTATATTAAACAAAGTGCTAGATCGGTAAGGAATAAGAAAGCAACACTACGGAATACCTCCTTTTAATTTCGGATACTTAAAAATTAGCAGATGCTCTGAAGCTTAAGCTTTAACTGAATTTCAACCTTGTTGTGTGTTTGCTTGCTTTTTCTTTAAACAGAAATGATAAATATATATTTCAATTAAATGTATACTTGACTACAGTGTTTCTGAACAAGCTCTTTTCACTTTTTCAAGAACAGTTTTTATACTACAAAAAAAGGAAGCAGCAAAACCTGGCGTACCTTCTCTATAATCATATTATCATCATCACTTTTATTTCATTTTCTAATTGTGCAGTCAAGCAGCTACTGTACGGAGGGCCCCTATGGCACTTTTCCTAATGATATTAAACATTGTTTTGCCTTACCTTCCCCCTCATCCAAAATTCATGCAGAACTTCAAAGAACATTAACATTATCTCTAAGTGGGAGTGATAAAGTCATGGCAGTGATTTCAACCTGAGGTCACATATTTTGCTTCATACCCCATTATCACAGCTCCAAGAATTGGAAAACCAGAAGGAAAGAAACTGGGAGTGTGCAATATTGGTATGACCATAAGTTACAGGCCTTAAAAACCTAAGAAAACTCAAACATTATCTTGTTTTACTTCAATCCCTACAGACACTTGTCTGACTACTCTACTGGATTAGTAAGGTCTCCACACTAAACTTGAACCAGCAGAAATCAACTGCCAGTTTCCAGTGTTTTCCCACTTTACCTTCATCTTTGAATTTAATATATTAAGGACCCTCAAAGGGCAAAGTACTTAAGGCTGCATTTCAAAACGAAGTCCTATCATTGGCAAACTTAAATAAGACTTAAAATACCTCTAATGGTATTTGATATAAAAGCCAATTCTTGGAAACTTACGGCAAAAAAGCTAAACAATTTTAAACCTCAACTGGTTCTAGGAAGTTTAATTTTATGGGAAAAGCAGATGTTCTTCTACTTCACCAACTCCAGCCACTCTGAATGCATAGCTGACCTGCTTCCTATCCAGATGTCTGAATATCAAGAAAATGCATTATGTTATCTGAAAGGCTCAAAAATCCAGTACGATCTGTGAAGACTGACCAATGAACAACAGCAGAAAAGACAAAACAATCCAAAAAAAAAGTTCAACCCAATAGTCCAATTCCATCAAGGGAAAAAACCCTCTTCTAAATAAAATGAAAAACCAAGGCAATTTGAGGCCTCCTACTTTGAGGCCTGCAAAGGCACTGAGAAGGTAGGACAGCATGTTTTTACCACATGCTCCACCAGACAAGAATCCTGCTGACACAAGCCCAAGGACCAACCCCCTCCCATCTCCTTACTCCTTTGATCCCATGTCATCTTTACAACTGCCTGTGCTTGGCATCAGAAGACCCTCCTTTCCTTCTTAGTTCTTTCCTAGATATTAAAGTTTGTGAATTACCCTAACACAAAACTGTTTTAAAGTTGTATTTGTAGACTTGGAGAATGAAAGTCTGAGCCACAGGACTTCACTGACACTTAAATGGTGTAGCTGAAGACCTCTAACCCATTTCAAAGATGTTACACTTGAGTCTTGGAATGAAGTTCTTATCTTCAACTTGGAGCACTCAGGTTTGAGACCCAGCCTACCCTACAGCTATTCTGACAGAGACTCTTTTTTGATGTATTATTTCTAAAAGCCTGCTCCAAGAAAGAATACATACTAATTACACTCCTTTATTTTTTGTTTAAAAGGATGAATGCTATACCAGAATGCTCCACACCAAATCCACCTAAAATAATTTTTCCAACTGATTTTCCTTCAACTCACTCTTTTCTAGCCACAATAATGGAAAATTCCAAGCACTATTTAAAAAAGAGCTATACCACACCTACCAGAGAAAATAAAGATGAATGCAAAGCTTCCACCTGATGAGGAACATACAGAGACATAAAGGCTGTCTCCCTGGAAGCTGGGAATTCAGAAGCAATAAGGGCAAAAACTCTTCATACCTTCTGCTTCTGAATACTGGAACAGAGGAGTATGTTTGCACATACCATTGAATAGATTTGTTTTCCTCAATGGTTCTTAAGATTGGTGAAAGTGGCAGACAGAGACATTAATTCCTTCTTCATTTTCAATCACCATTAGCATCACTGTAATAACCAAAAGCTTCCACAAGACAAAGATGAATTTATCCTGCTTCCGGAAGTATTAGTAGTCACAAATATTGAAAACCAAGCCCTTATATTAAAGCATGGTGATAAAAAAGGGTTTGGTCATCCTCAGGGGAAAAATACAAACAGAAGTTTCAACCTATATTAAGCACAGAAAGGTAAACTTCTGAGTCATTCACATGCTATTTAGGGTAACAGCACATATTTGTTGAGGATCTCCACATAGTAAATAAATGCAAGCTCAGTAATTTAACTCTGTCAGAGATTTTTTTTGTTTCTTGACTGGAGTGACTTAAGGAGGTCACAAGTAAGAAAGCAACAGGAAAAGAATTTTGTATTTTCTTGGCTCAAATTATAAAAACATAAGCCACAATACAATGTGTACAACTTAGGTTTTCAAGGAAAACTCCTTCAAGCTCAACAGCAGCTAGCAGCTTGTCTCTATTTGCCATCACTCTAGATCAGAAGAGCCCACATGTTTTTTTTTTCCTTTCCTGCCCCTTTCAGTTACACTTGAGCTCTTTGACTGAAAAGGTCTGGAACAGATTAAAAGTCTGACCACAAAATAAAGAGCCTTGGCATGTACTCAAGCCTGTCTGGGATACACATACACAGTGGGCCCAAAAAGGGAAGCTATGCAGCAAGAAACCCTTAATCAGTCTTTTGGACATTTCTAACTTCTTTCAGTTTAACTGCACAGCCTTAACATTTGATAGAGTTTCAGTATACACAAGACAAGCAGCTTTTGCCCTTACAGTTGGACCACTCTATTTACTGCAATACAAAATAGTTGTGAAAAGCAAGATTCATCTCACTCACAACCTCCGTCCATTAAGGCATTTTCCACACCCCTTTTTAATTCCAGTTAATCTTTAGAAATGACAAAGTAATGCATGTAAAGAAAAAATGATACCCTGGCAAGATTACCTGAGTAAATGTAATTGCAAAAGGCAACACTGATTTTCAAAATGACTGCTTCCTTTTCTGTCTTACTCACATACTAAGTAATTGTGAAGTTGCAAATTACCCACACACTCCTCTTGCAACGTGCAAACAGGTCTGTAGCTCTGGCTGGTGTTAAAGCCAGCATGGACATTTGCCAAAGCTGACACCCCACCTTTGGGCTCAAGTTGCATAGTGGTTCAACCTGTCTACAAACTGGTGAGCAGTTTATAAACAAAGCGTAACAATCCGGTGTTCTCCGTAAGTGTAAACGGATGTTGTAAGTAAGCACTCAAGCCTACAAACCAAAATGCAGAATTTCTAGCAGACATTTCAGAAAACAAAACAGAACAGTGACTGTTGAGTTTTGTAGCTCTGTATTTATATGGCATTCATGGAGTTAATGCCTCTCCCAGAAGGGGCCCACAGTTGTTGTTAGGTCAACCCCTGTAAAGCTTCAAAGGTTTTGCATCCCCTCAGCCTGACCTACTCAGTGATCTGCACACTGTTTTCATTTAGCTGCACTGAGTCCAAAAGTAAAGCCTGAAAACCACAATGATCTCTTCTTTTTTTTTTTACTCCTACTGTTTTTCCATGGCTCTGGAAAAATAGCTAAAATCCAAAGGAGTTGAAAATAGTAAGTTATTGGGAAAACAAATCAAGGGCAAGCTAATAAGGCTGACACCCACAGGTCATGGCTTTACAAAAAATCAGAAATTTTAACGCCATACTAAATACATCTTGGATAATCTATGAAAGTAGTTTAGCATCTTCATATTATATGTGATTTCTATTCACAGTCATCAGTGCCAATACTTTATTGAAAAGCTTGAAGTTCTGCTCTTCATATAGATCAAAATATAATTGAAAAAAATTACATAAAAGTTCTGTTTTGTTTAATTTCTCCATCCAGACTTTGTGATCATTAAGTTACTATTTCTATTTCCAATATTAAATAATCTTTATCACACAAAAAGGTCATTACCTTTTATAGTAGGAGCAACAAAACTAATAATTCCTCATCATATTGTTTAATACAGAAAGTTTTGTCATGATAATCACTGTGACAAGCTGGAATTATAAGCTGGTATAATTTTCAAGCGTATTTAAACAGCATGAACTATTATTTGACAATGCCCTCTTAAGATAACACAAAGGAAAGTAAATATTTGTTTAGGAATTAAAAGATTCTTCTGCAGTAAAGTTTTGCTAATTTAAAGGGATGAGTGAGCTTGTCTGAAACCATCTCAATAAGTAATTTCTGAATGTCACCACTCTGGGGAACTGTATGGATCATGTGGCAAAATACCAACCTGTAGCATTAGAAACTTGGGTAACATACAGTCCTGGAGGATATAAGCTAATAGTATTTATCTTAGAAAAAAAGCAAAAAGTTATTTAAATAAGGCCTCTACAACTTAAAATATATTTTAATCATACTATAAAAAGTTTTCAAAATATGCCTGCAAAATTAAAGCTGAGTGAACTGAAGCAAATCAAGAATTCTGAATTGAGATGAACTTTTACCAAAGCGTGGGTCAAGCCTTGGGTCTAGCCAAGATGTGGTCTTGTTCTTATGGTTTATGTAGTAAATTTCTCCATCCTGGGTCATAGCTTGTTCCCATCCATCGGGGAGTGGGCCTGCAATATAGAAGGAAGGAGTTGATGGCGGGCTCTTGCTTGCTCCACCTGAAATTGATCTAAAAAATATTTTAACATTCTACATATATAACAATACATGAAACAGAAGAGTTTCAAGCTTATTTCTGGGATTGAGGGCAAAGAAGTGCTGGGTGGAAAAACCAAGGAACAGGAAACACTTCTATCATTTTTATTTAGGATTTGGACTTTATTTTCAAACTTATTTGTATCCTTTCATATGCTTTTGACAGATCATTTTGCTATAGCATTCTAGTATGAAACCAGCAATAAGTCAAGCCTGCCAGAATGAAACCAGCATGTGCACCAGGAAAAAGAAGCATAGAATAATTCTACCTCTCACAGAAAAGTTCATCTAGTGATTAAGACACAGCAGCAGCAACAAGCTAACACTGAGGAGATCCTGAAATGATCCTGTCTTTCACAAACAATTAAAAAAAGAAGTGAACAAAACTAATTTCCTCTTTACCTCATACTCCAACTTTCAGTGAAAGCATTCAAAGCTTAAGCAGACAAAAATGCAAACCTGAAGAACAAGGCGGGCAAACAAGCAATGACACAGCAAAGGTAAGGAAACACCATGAGCAGTCACAAAGACACAGGGCTATGAACAGCAGGGCAATGTCTCTACAAGCAGAAAGGCAGACACAGGAAAAACAACTTCTAGAAAATGGTCAAAGGGAAGTACATAATGATGTTGTAGAGTCTATAGTTGAGGTCTGAACACAGCCTGAGGAATGGTTCCCATATGCTCCCATCAGCAGCTTTCAAGAAACTACCTTTCATTCCTATACCGATCTTAAACCCCTTGTTCCCATCTCTATATGATCACATACAGTCACCCATACTTTGCTTAGACTGAAAACTATTTAAAAAAATAAATATTTATCTCATCTTATCTGGAAGGTGCTTTACAAATACATGGTTTTGAATTTTTATGCTCACATTGACATGAACCTTTAAAAATGTCTAAATTAGATAGAGGAAGATCTTCCCCATATTTTAGATTTAAGTACAATCCTCAAATTATACAACAAAAGATTCACTGCACATGTTAAGAATGCAAAAGAAATTAGGATAAACCTGCTGTAGCAGCAAGCCATTGTATTTCAAGTTCTTCTACTCTTAGTCAGTGTAATACAATAATACAACAGCAGAAGCCATCTGGCTGTCAGACTTGGACGAACAGATTATTCCGTATGATGTAAGATACACTAAGTGTACACAAATATCATTATTTCACACATGAGATTCAGGTATACCCAAAAATATCTGCCCATCCTGTAAATGTCTACTACATCCATCTTCGAACTACATTAGCTCTTGACTGTAGCTCTGTCCTGAAATCATGCTCCTGCTGAAGAATTCAGTCTAAAGCTGGGAGAAGAGGTAGGGAGGATAGATTAGTTTGCTTAATCTTAAAAGATGTTCTTGGAGAAATGTCAAAATGACTAAAAAAATAATTCAATTGCATTCCAGTAATATCCCAAGGCATAATCAGGACAAGAATTTCTTACTGTGGTCTTTGAAGATCCCTTGCAAACTACATTTCTAATTTAAACTTTCATTTTGGCTCTGAAAACAAAGCCCTTCTCTAACAACCTCACTACTCCATCATTAGTGCCACAGAGGAATTTCAAGTGAGGAAAACCAGTGAACACTAGGTATTTTCTTCCCACCTCTACTGCTTTAAGTGTTGCCTACAAGTAACGAGTACCTCAGTTTTACCAGAAGCTAGTGAGCAGAACAGGCAAGAAAGAGTGACAATACCGCAAATGATGCTTAAAGCCTAAGATACTCACTGTAGAAAAGGACTTTGATGGAGGAATGAGAGCTCCAGTGCTGTATTTGGAATGCTGTATTTTGTTTACCATATCCAAAGACCAGCCAGCTAACCAGTGAGATGCTTTTTTACAAAGCTGGAGCACAGGACCACAGCGACATGCCCCCCATCATCCAACTGTAGAAGTCAATGAAGAACCAAACCCACTCCTTTACTGCTGAGCCAGCATGCTAGCCATGCAGGCAGACCTTCTCACTACCATTCTCCTCAGAGTCCTACTAAGCCATACATGCCTTGGAGAAACCCAGCAAGAAGTTCTTCGTGAACTGCAAAGCCAGAAAAACCCTCTTTGGCTTCAGGAATAACAAAACCAGCCTTGGGGAGTCAGTCCTGCTGAGCACTGAAATCTGTACTGGTCCAGCATGTTCCTTTGTAGCAAGTAAGAACAAAATCCTTTGAAGAAGGCTGCCAGGAGCTGATCAGTCCATCCGCCTGGTGGAATAATGCTACTTAAGAGATTCAGTGATCTGATGAATACTAGATTACTACTAGAGACAAACCTGGGCAAGGTTCTCTTTCTAAATAAAAAGCACAGCTTTTCTTTCTAAATAAAAAGCACAGGACAAAAAGGTCTGTCCATCTGCTCACCCGGCTATCACAGCAGCAAGCCTTCCTTGCTAAGTGCTATGAATGACTGTAGAAGCAGAGCTTTTATCTCTGGAAACTTTTGGCATTAATAATGTAGCTTGCTTCCTTGGACAACAAACTGCTCTCATGTTTCTGCTGTCATCGTTACATATTGAAAAGGCAGTTCAAAAATTGAAATTATTGCTTTCTGTAATTCCTGTTTGGTTTTGTGAGTAATTGTGGAGCTAGAAGACATGTCTGATTTTCTAAAGGGTAACTTGACAAACTCTGTATTTGAGACAACTACCAGAGGAAAGAACTAAACCCATGCTGAGGAATAGGAGACACATTCACCCAGAGCATCTAGGAAAAGTCCTTTGCAATTACATGCCCATTTATCCCCAAAAGGCTGAATAGGAACAGAATTTTTAGCATTAGATAACCTAGGTCACAACAGTGGAGTCCTATACGTTGCTGCTATTCAGACCTTTTCACTAAAATTTCCATAGTTACTGTAGCTCATGTTGTATAGAAACTGCAATACTGGGGGGCTAACCAAAAGTCCATTCAGACCAGACATCAAGCCTGGGGTGATGGACAGATCTTGTTGGCTGCTGAAAGTAGCCCATTTAGGGACTGTCACATTCCATAAACTTTTAAATAAAGCACCAAATACATAAAGAGACCTAAAAGGTATAAAGGCTATGAATAGTCACTTGGCCGCACAAGTGTGTTGGGCACTGGAACAGGCTCCTCAGGAACATGGTCATAGCCTCAATCCTAACAGATCTCAACAAGTGTTTGGACAATGCTCTCAATGGTGTGACTCTTGGGGATGCCCTGCACAGGGCCAGGAGTTGGACTCAATGATCCTTGTAGGTCCCATCCAAATCAGGATATTCTGTGATTCTATCACAAGTTATTTCTTGGGTCAGTTTCTGTCTGCTTACTAAGTGCCAAAATATCTCTCAAGTACTTCTCCAGTCTCCCCTCCAACTTTTGTAAATATTTAGCACAAACAGTATCCTTGTGACATAGTCCCCCTACTAGTTCTGTTTGGTGCCTCCTATGACAACTGAACCCTATCACAACTGTAAGTTTAGAATTCTGTGAAATAATTTGCACAGGCAGGGAACTCAGCTTGCACTGTGGTACTTTTGAGGACAAAGTTACAAAAAATTAAAATTTAATTTCCAAATGTAAGCCAGCATTCCAGAACTACTGGTAAGCCATACCTCTGTAACTAAATATTTATATAATGGTGTGACTTCATATAAATAACATGTAATTTCAAAAGTCTGTGTGCATGTCTCTTTGGTGCATGTCTCCACTTTTTGTGAGGTTTTTTTTTTTTTTTTTAACTTTCTCATATGCCATGGAATCTGGAATGCAAAGCAGAGCTTGCTGCTGGCAGATAGAAAGCAACTGGAAGAGTAACAAAAGCAAAAATGTAGTAGAGATTTAATCTATGCTGGGATAAGAAGTGAATCTTGCAAGACTCTACTGTTCCTAACACTTTTAAAACAAATGTAAACAAAGCCATATTTTATCAACAGGTCAATGCATATAAGAGGGCATCTGTATCTATCTACCAACTGCCTATGCATGGACAACCTAGGAACTAGAATACCTATGTTCAACACCAGGATTCACCTTCACCTCATACAAACACTGATCTCCAAGATCTTTCCCAGTCTTCGTCCATGAAAGCTGAACTTCTTCCCTTCAGTCATTGTGGTTCTAAAACTTCCAAAAATTGTGTCAAAGTCCACAAAATTTACTTTAAGTACACCTTTATCCTGTCAAATTATTTAAATTTTATTTAACACTATTTAAAAAGGGGTGGTTTTTGCAGATGAAGAAAGAAATTAACATTATTGTCATGCAGATACTTAGAAACTCAAGCTTCAGAATAGACCATAGTGCTGACTGTACACAAAACAGAATTTTGTACAGTCAGCACTATGATAGCTACACAGACACAATCTGCAACTGAAGTGAGCAAGAACCTAAGAGAAGAGCTAGAACTTGTTTTAGTTATTGGCATATTCCTTCCTACCCACCTGTCCCCTGAGAGTTATGAATTCAAGTGTCCATTTCCTTACCAACATTTAACATGGCACTACAGCCTTACCTTAAGAGACAATGGAATTACACTAGGTCTACAAACTTTCACTGGGAAACTCAATTCAAAATTGCCACATAAGAATGAAGACAAAAGAGGACAAAGACACATAATCTGCTCCAAAGCTAATTCTCTAAGGTCTATGTGCAAGCGGAAAAGGTTAAAGCATGCAGTCCTGTCAAGCCTGACTCAAGCATGATTCAGAAAGTAAAAGTATCTGAATAACAGAAATACACTAATACAATTATCCCATCTCTGTTGTAGCAACTGTAATTGTATACAAAACAGCCACTGTTTATTTTCAAATGTATAACTTTACCTCAGTAGGAAATGTATAGGAGATGTTCCTAAGAAGCACAGCATACCCTTACTACTACCTTTTTGTTTGTTTGTTTTAAATCAAGGCAGAAGAAACTATGTTGGTTTTTTTTTCTGTTCTTTCTGCTTTCCTTTAGGGAAAAATGGTTAGAAACATAATGCAAAAAAATGAGAACAGTTACAATGACTTTTTATATACATGTGGCATATGCATAAATAACAGGCTTGTCTCCTTTCTACTACTGAAGATGCAATCCTATTTCACATATTAATCAACAGATGCCATCTAACAGAGCACGGTGCTCCTTCCCTGCATGCATATGGCCCAAACTATTTTAGTTGATTACTTGTAGCAACTAAGTTAAAAAAGACAGACACTTTTCACACACTGATGACTTCCTATAAAGAAAGTAGCTAACTAACACTCATAGAATAACTCATTCACAAAAGTCATGCCTGGAACAGACATAAATGGTTCAGATGTCCATTAACTTCTTTGAAGAAATGTAATTTGCAGCAAGATACCTAAGTGCCTCAAGAGACGGAATTTCTTAAGTCAGATAACCTAAAGATTTCAATCTCATGCTAAACTACATGTTTCCCATTTTTATATTTTAACAATCTTTTGACTTGCCCTCATCACGTCTTTCCTGAGTTCTTCTTCCCCTATTTATCCAAAAAGACAACAGGTTTATCTCCAATATGCACACATCAGTTTTCACAGTTCTCTTCTCTCTGCATCTTCAGTTTGTTTTCCTGTTCACAGCAATTTCCTTGCTAATGTCAAGAACTCTAATTCTGACTAAATGGTTAAAGCTTCTAAAGGCTGTCACGACAGCTCCCAGAAATCTCTCCTATGTTTCAGCACAGTAACTTGACTTACAGGCTCCTCAGGCAGTACACTAGAACTTGGACAGTAACTTTAAGGGCTAAAATTAATGAGCACCATACAAGGTCTGTACAGAAAGGAAAATATTCTCCTTTGTGGCATTTCAAACACTTTTTTGCAAGTCAGTGATCTCCAGCTGTCACAATACTCACACTCGTTTTTTCCCAATATCGTTCATGAAAGGCTCTCATGCACTAGGGTATGTTTCACTGCCAGCAATATTTCATAACAGGAAACTTCAGTCTTTAAGGCCTCGACTTGATTTCTCGAGGATGAATGCCCAAATTAGAACATAAAGTAGTCTTAAATCTGAGTGCCAACACCATGACTGTAAGTTCCACTGTGCTGAAGTGGTACATAGTTACTTGACTTTTCCATTTCTCACAAAGATCATTCAAGAGGCTACCAAGGAAGCATAAGCTACCATAAACTCAGTAATAAAAAGTAACAAAGCTACGTATAAGAGACTTTAGTAAAAACAAATAAACAGCCATAATTTAAAGTTTGTACATAAACATTTGCCAGATCAAGTATCAGAATCATGTCCAATAAATGCAGATTTGGTATTATTTAATTCAAAGCAGACTTTTGTTAATAGCAAATAAGGGTAATAAGCAAGTGCATCCAAAGAGCCAGTTCCAAGTCATACTACCTCAACTGACTTAAGCTTAAAAAAACCTAACTCCACATAACATATGATGTATACACAGGAGTTCTGAGTCCTTCATGCACTTTATCAGACTCAGAGCACTTGGGGAAAAAAAGCTTCACGGGATTTTCAGTTGATATTCAACATAGTTTCATCTGTGAAATTAAAAATAAATGTTCAATGAACTTGTATCCAAGTAAGTGCTTTCTCAAATCACAAGACAAGCCACTTGCACTTTTCAACTGTTCTTTACTGCACGAACAACAATATCTATGCAACATCACACACTCACATAATTACATCAGGCAATTACATGTAAATGTTCTTTAAAAATAATCCTTGTGTCCAGATTGCAAGCTTCTTTTCCAGTTTGTTACCACCCTGTTACAATTTATCAGTACTTTTTTTTTGCTAAGTACTCTTCATTTCTAAGTACATAAAGTGATCCCTACTTTACTATCAATATTTTTTCCTTCTAAGTACATAAAGTGATCCCTACTTTACTATCAATATTTTTTCCTGTGAATTCTTGGTACAGCGGAAGGTTTGAGGAGTTATCTTAAAATATGTCAATATTGAAACAGCAAGCATCTAGTTTTAGCACAAATAAGCAAAAAGGCAGGACAGACCAAGAGAATTGTTTCCTTTCTCCTATTCTCCCTCCTTTAGAAGTGTCCCTACAAAAACATGCCACCTCTATTGCTGCAGGTTTCCTGGGATAAATTGCACAGAAAATAATCACACTGTTTTATTTTCACATCAGAGCCTGAGACCTTAATTGCTGTGAATCACGACTTCCTGAACTTGAACAGGACTCATTTGTTTCAGGATAATCCAGCCTCCTGGCCTAGCCAGCAAAAAGTTTGATTAACTTCCCCTCTAATACTCAGTCATGAACAGCACAGTTTGGTCACGCCTGTTAATCTTTTGGTATTGTCTGCAGCACATGAATTGCAGCATGAAACAAAGCTGTCTAAACAGACCACAAAAAGCAGCACCAGAGAATAACCCTTGGGAAGTACAGGAACAGCAGACACACACAAAATACAGTCAGACTGTGAGAAAATAAATATAACATGAACCTCAGTGACAGACAGGAGGTGACAAAGCCAGGGCAAGACCAAGCACTCAAACAAGCATGGTACCAAATTTATCTGCTTGCTCTCTGCATAATCAGATGAGAGAGCTCTGAAAACACACAGTAGATTCTATAGCAAGAACAAGAACATTTTGCTGCTGTCTAGTGAGAGCCCTCCCCACCCCTGCCCCCAGCCAGCTGAAAAACAATTCTATATTCCAGGAAAAGGCAACAGACTTCCTCCAGTTAGAGCAATAATGACCATGACACTGGATTGTGGAAGTAAGAGAAACATAAGAGGAAAACAAAAACATCTCTGCTTCTAAACAAGACTTTCAAGGTATTTGCTCGATCCATTTAAGGACGACAGGAAAAAATTATATGTTCATATTAAATGTAGGAAATGTAAATAAATGGTGGTATAACATGTCTAGTCAGTGAGCAAAGGGAGGCAGAAGAACGCTGTGAAGCACAAAAGCCTTAATGTAAATTGATATTAATTGAATGGAAATTCTGGTCTTCACCAATTTAACAGCATTTTGTGGTCAGAAGAAAATAGAGAAAAATTCTGCTTCCTTACAACTTTGAACCATTCATTTGAAAAAATAAAAACATAAATCAAAGAACTACAGCGTTCTTTTTATTGACAACATAAATATTATACAAATTCTCTTATTTCAACTATCAGCCTCTGGCTTGATGAATCAGGCATCAACAAATTTAGAGTTTCAAATCAGGATAAGCAGAAGAACATTTATTAAATCTGGACTCCCTCTCCCCTGATTAGAATAGTTTGTGGTTTACTTGTATGATCTTTTTAATAAATGCAAATTTTGCTTACCTGATGCTGAGTTCATGATGTTCTGTTGCACAGAAGGACTGGTGGGAGCTGTAACATTCATCTGGGAAAGCATGGCCTTCCTAGGATCTTGCCATGTTGTTGTTTGATCAATGTGACTAGGACAAAACAAAGCAAGAGTTAGGACAGTCATGCATTCACAACAATGACCTGCTAGCACAGAAAGTTTAACAACAAAAGGTTAAACTTGCCAACAACAGCCACATTCAAAACCAAACAAGAACTTTTTGGATTCTCTCCAAGCATCACTGTTTGTCAGATTCTCAAACCCTTGCCCTGGCCACCACCAGTTTCCCAACCAACATTTGCCTCCTTCTCTCTTTGATCACTTATTTGCCATTTTTAAATGTGACTTCACAGATTTTCAAACCAAGCCAGATATGTCTGGAATCTCAAGCACAGTCCAGTACCTCAGTATGCTGAGTTCACATCCAGGGCCTAGGGAGTGGTAATGAACTGGCCAGTATGCAGTCATTAGTGTTCCCAAACTTTCTGTGCATAGACCACATCCTCAGATTATCGGGCAGACTACTCTCCTCCCCACTGACACCTGAACAATCCATCTGTGGTAGCTGAAGTTACCAGTCACAGTAAAGCAGTAATGTGAAAGGAATGTGCAGCTGCCTTTCAACTTCAAGCGAAAAGATGAGGACAGTAGGACTGTCAAGTAACCCACCCAGTCCTCTGCAAAACCCTGGAAGCTTAGATTTCTCTGTTTTGAAAAAATGGCAAGTACATTCACGACTGTCATTCATGGAAGTATTCAATTCAATGGAAATACAAAAGTGTAATCAATCATTATTTTTCTTTTGGAGTATATGATTAGCATGCTTTGCTAATAAGCAGCAGATGCAGTCTATTCATAACAAGCATCAATATTATCTCAATGCCATTAAACAACACTGCTCTGAGAAGTACATGGGGACAAAGATACAACTCCAAATGCACATGAACACTGACAACAGAATTTGTTATCTGATCATTTAGAATCGGTACAAATTAAAAGTCATATTCAGATAGTATTGTTATAAATTAGAATCCAATGCATTATTAACTTGGTACCATTCATACTTTAAATAAATTATCCTTAAAATTATGCTTTTCTGGATTACATGGAGTGCCCACTGTCATATTCTGCAGCAAAAGCACAACAAGTAACAAATTCAGAAGGACATAAAATGAAGCAGTAGTCACCAAAATAATTACTTATGTCAAACTACTCACATTCTAATCTTCTGTTACAAGGCAGACATACCACAAACTAGCTTTTAAAGAAGTTTTAACATATGTACATTAACACTCTCTAACCATGCACATAAGCTATTTCAGACCAAAGAGTTACAGACACACCATAGTAGCTCGTTTAATACAGTATGTGCTGGTTTTGTCTGGGGTAGAGGTTATTTTCTTTACCATGGCTAGTGCTGGGCTATGTTTTGGATGAATCTGGCCTCCCTCTGATCATCACACCAATAAATTATGTTTGATGGCTGGAGTTAAACCTCAACAAGATACTATTAAGCACACTGCATCTTTGGTAGCACAGGTTTTCAAATATTCAGCTTCACTGAGAAACATGCCACATACAGCAAGACTTCTTTATTTCTTTTTAAAGCCTATTTATTTATAAAACATGGTACAACATAGTAAAGACTGCCCTATATATACTGGACTATATATAAACCTTCATACTGGGGAACAACTTTTCACTTTTCTGCTGGTCAGTTTTGCAAAGCAAGGAAAACAGGTAAAGATAATACAGATGTAAAAACACTGCACTGTAATGCTTCACAGACCATGTGTTTAAATTTCTGTACCAGCATGTGCTACTCCTCCCTTACATTTCTGATTTGTTATATTTGCTCAACTCAGTTCTGGCAGTAGTGGAAACTGGGAAAACACGACTGTACCCATAATAACACATTCAACTATTTCCATTTAACTCTCATAAAAATCCATGTAGCACTATGAACTAATAAAATGCAAGGTACATAATTTATAGCCTTTGTTTTTATATGCTATTTGAGTGCAGAGTAAGAAATAAAAGGAAAAATGTTTTCTCCTTGCATTACAGAACCATTTCCACAGTTAACTGTAGGAACGCACTAAACAACATTGATCAATTTTTCAAAACACATCAGAACATGGGACAGATGAATGGACTATGGAAGAAGCAGTTTTAGGTGCACCTGCAGTTTTGAGCACAAGGACAGCATTATTGATTCCTCAAGACAGCTTCAGCATAGCACGCAATGTACAGTTAATGTCCATATGGAGTTGTTAACGAGGGTAGCTATTTCAGGCAGCAGCAGCTTCCAGCCTTTCCCTAGCTCAGTATCACTTGAGAAAAGTCAGCATGACCAGCTGAACTACAATCAGCAGTCTTAGAGCCAAGAGCCATGGAGGAAAATCTTCAAAGTAAGCAAGTTGATTATATTAATGTCATACTGACTGTATGACTGGTTGAATAAGGCAAGCTTTTTTCCCTCTCACTCAGCTCAGTGCTTCATGATCTACATATCCATTTCCTCCATACCTTCCCTCAACACTTTTCTCCTCAAACTCCATAAAATCACAGTCCTCATACCTGCTCCATATCCTGAGTGTTTGAATGCTATATACTAAGAAAGCACCCAAAACACTTCACAACAGATCAGTTCTTTCCTATAAATTCCAAATAATGCTCAGCTGATGAAATACGAAGTAGGCAAGCCCCCACTTATATGGATGAAATGTTTAAATAAATCCTAGTACTACATGGAGGAATATAGGAATTCATTTCGTTCCTATTCACAGCACATGGACCAGAGTAACCTACTAAAAACACCATGTATTTTTAATTATCAAATTAAGTATTGAAACAGGACATTCTACACAAGTAAAGACCTTTCCCTCTGTTTTGAACAGCAGCACAGAAAAGGTCTCAATGGACATAACAAGAACTGACATCAACACTGCATTATCTTTCCCTGCATTAAGTAGATTTTCTTTTCTCATAGTAGCTGAATTTCATGAAAACTGCCCCAATCCTTACATTAAAGATCTTCAATTTTATGTGAGGTTTACCATATCTCAATAAGCAACTAGTGTCAACACAAATAAAAGATTAAAAAACATTAGCAAATGATATGAAATCAATGTAACCTATAAATCAGCCAGTATATGTAGCATGTATTATCAAACTAAAACTTAAAATTCTACCACTCAGGAATGAGAAACATAGCTCTGTACTGTGTGAACAGAACAAGTGAGTAAATATTCCTGGAATTAAGTCAACATCTCTAGGATAATCAAGCAATGTAAGACATTTTATCTCACATAATGAATTCTCAAATCTAACATCTATCTATCTGGCACTATTTATTATTGTTCATTTATGACATGGAGAAGCAAAACTTTAGTAAACTGGACAAGCATAGTAGAAATGAAGGAAATCAGACTATACCATAAATGTAGGTCTGTGGTAACAGGCCTTAGAAAAACAAAACTAAAACACCCACCACATGCTAAGCATTTGTTAGCAAACATATGTGAATTCTAGTATCAAAAAGAGTGACTGTTCCAAGACACATCACCCACCATCCTCCACCAAAAAGGACCTTCAAAGTGTTGTGCACGTTATGAAGAGCACAAACTGCATCTCCTCATCCATCTTCAACTTCTACAGCCAAATACAAATTATCTGCATTTTAACAAGAACAACTTCAAAGAAAAGAAAAATGTTCTAATTTTTTGTACACAAAGAGAATTTCTGCAGTTACTAAGAATCAGAATTTAATTGAAAGAAATCTTTACTGGCATTAAACACTATCACATGCATAAAGATTTGTCAGATTCAAATTCTAACCTAATTTTAGAGTTTAGGGTATGGGTTTGTTGTAGTGGTGGTTTGTTTTGTGGTTTGTTTCTTTTTTTTTTTGAGGGAGAAGGGTGTTGAAGATTTTGGTTTGAATTTTTGTTAGTGTTTTTTTTAAAGTACATTGGAAAAGAAGTAGGATATCTAGAGACCTAAAAAAGAAAAGGAAATTTATTTTTTATTTTAAGAACCCTTCTGATCCCAGAAGACTAATAAAATAACACCATTCTAAAAACAAAGCCCTTGTACAAAGTGTAATATACCTTCCCATTCATTCTCCAGTTGCTGCACTAAAAAGACACGTACTGTTTTGTCAAAAGCCATGCTAGAAACAAACTAACACAAAAAAGACACTCAAAGAATTACTTAAATTCTTCAAGAAAGGCTTATCTAAGAGGCCTTCAGTTTTGACATTCTGTAGTATGTACTGCAACTAGTGTCCCCATTGGCAGGTGCAGTTTCCAGAGTATGCTGAGAACTTCATTTGTGTAACAGAATTTCCAGTCATTACAAAATTATGTCTTTCTCACCCTTTCTGCCTTTATTAGCATAGTCACCTTATATATGTCACATCATTTATAATTAGAACTTCCTTTTCACAAAAACAGGTCTTAGGATAGACATTAACATAAGCAGGTCAGAACTGCAAGACTATTTTACCAGAGTGTGGAATAGAAATGTAATGTTAGTAAGAAAAGCAAAAGACAATGAACAGACATTCTAATCCTCAGTACAGATGATCATACTGCATGAAATTTCTGCAACAACAACAAAAAAATAAGAGGTCTGATTGACACATTAAAGAATAGATAAGAATAAATAAACCATGGCTTCGCAGTACATTTGGACATGGCTCTTCCTGAAAGGACATTTCAAAAATTTAGTCTCAAACACACAGCAGGACAAGTTTTTCCTAAGTATAAAAGCATCACTGTAAAAAACTATGCAAACATCTCTCCATAATGTAGTGCTTGTGTTTTAACAATCTAGAGAAGACTTATATTTTATGTCTGTGAGAAAGTTATTTTCAGTCTCTAGTGAACTTGAGGTGACTAACCTTGGATTTTGGTTTTCAGATTTTTGGGATTGTTAAGAATTCACTGGAAATCACATTTTATGAAAAGCAAAACAGGAACACATACCACTGACCACATCATGACAGACCTCCCAAGGGTGTTGACGTGGCATTGAGTACTTTTTGTGCAACATAAGCAAGTGCACAAATGAAACTAAACCTAATTA